CCCCAAAACCCCAAAACCCCAAAACCCCTTAGCCAAGCTGCCTTATTGAAACTCAAATAATATTAAGGTGTTAATAATAATGCCATACATCGAATTAATACTTTAGATTTACACTATATTGTAGATACAATTTCATTTTCATATATAAGCCTATTGAAAGTGACAATAAATTCTAAGGGTCATCCTTTGGCAGAATTGCTTAATATTTCAGCTCAAAAACACCTCTGAATATATATTAAAGATAACACTTCTTTATAAGAATAAATGAAGAGTCAAACTCAGCCTATTACTAGAGACAATGCTAAAGAACTAGAGTAAGTTCAATTGCAGATCAGTGAGACTTTAGTTGAGCCAAGTTCGCAGTGATTCCTCATGACTTTTATTGACTCTATAATTTGAATTCCCAGAGAAGAAACCCAGGATTTCAAGTTTAACTTCTTTAAAAATTTAGATCGTGTGATTAATTATATTAAGATGCTCATTTCTACTCTAAGTTGTTTGTTTATTTACAATGCCCATAAATAAAGACTTAGTATACTCCCTTTTTTTGCTAAACCAGAAGACAGTTTATCTTTAAAAATTCTACTTGACTCTGTCATGTTTTGGATATGGCTTCTGATCAAGAGGAGGAGAAACAAAAACCTTGTACTCATTTATTGAACTAGTATATCCTCCCATATAGTTACTTCTTAAGAGGGTTTAAAGCTCAGGTTACAAAATCCTGACTCTAATGAAAATTAATGCTACTAAATTCTAATGCGAGGTATATTACTTGAACTTTGAGAAAGCTTATTCATATCGAAGATATAGAGAAGAGAAAATTGTTTTGGCAGATGAGTGTAATTCTGACAAAATATTCAGCAAAGGTCATTACTTTAATATTTTTCCAAAAGAATTTGAGCATAAAACTCTTGATGAACCAGACCCAGAAGATATTGGTCTTCTACAAAGAGTTATTAATTAGGGAACAAAAACATTAGCTTTTGTTAAGAGATCTTACTTTTTAGAATCTTATATTATTAGAGATTTTAATTTATATTCTGTGAACACAAAGTACAAAACTATTGTATATTGCATCAAAGCTCAACCCCTACTAAGATGACTGCTTTAGCACTTCATTCTGGTCGAGCTCTTTCTTCACATATCTCTCCTGTTTTAAATATTTCTCCTGTTTTCAATGCAATCATCAGAGTCAGCCCCAGAATATTACAAAATGTATTATTCATGATTTCTGAATCAGTGATCACCAGTTTAAAAGAGTCATGGCTTCATATAAGAATGCTTATACAATAGAGTTCTAAAGGTGCTAAATGTCAGGACTTGCAGTAATTGACTTTTTCAACCACTTAGAAATACGAAGATTAGTCAGCTTTGATTGTACGCTTGAGGACACCCTAAACATTCTGATTGGGAGAGCAATCCTCAAGATTTTATCAACCTAATCTAAGGATTAACCACTTATCCAGATTTTAAGCTGAATATCAAGTAAATATGAATTTAGGATCCTCGGATTGGAAGTAAAAATATAGAAAGATTCTTAACAAAATGGATTTAGTGATCTTAATACAAATTAAAAAATAGCACAATTTATTGCATTTTTATTCTCTCCTAAAATGCTCATAATCATTTGGGTTTCTATATTTTAAGCTTAACACCATTAATTTTTAACTTAGAAATATTATTGTATCTCAGAGTTCCCATCATTCTGGGGTTTTGGGGTTTTGGGGTTTTGGGGG